GCAGCGTTCTCCTAAGCCCACGGCTGGCAGCCAAATCTTCCCCTTGGATGGTCCTCCAAAGCCTCAGGGGTAGAGGGGGTGCCTGTTCCTCAGTGCCCGACACTGTATCCAATCTACCTTCCCGCCCAATAATGAATATCCTTGTATCAAGAGAAAGAACCCAGCGTGTCACCTAGAATTAATCTGGGGTCCCACGCACCTCCTGGCCTTCGACGCACAAACCCTCTTTTATCGCAGGTGTTTGCTTACCCTCGTTTAATTTGTGCTGAAGGATCTATTTTGCTTCTTTTATACGTATTTCTTAGTCATCTTCTACATATTTCTTAATAATCTTTAGATCCCAGTAGTATTTTTGTAAGATATGAGGAACGTTTTCTATCTGAGTTATTAAATGGTTTGGGGGGGGGGAATGTGTGGGTTGTATATTTCGCTTTTACCGGCTCTTTCAGTTCTGTAGCCGTTATTTCGATCTCTCCCAGCACTATTTTTATGACAGATTTTGAAATATCTACCTGGCAGTGTGCTTAACGATGTAACCGCCCCCTCCCTGAGCCGCCAGCGGGTGCAGATCTCCACGTGCTGGAATCAAACACCATCGTTTCCCAAAAGCACTTTTTTTCCTCGCGACTCGATGGAGCCGATCCAGCGCTCGGCGGGGTGGGGGCAGAGGTAAAATGAAAAGCTAAAGCTTAAAAATGAAGGTAAAAAGGAAGAGAATCCTCCCGGTTTGGGATGGCGGGTAAGCATCAGGCTGCAGAAAAAATATTTTCTTGTAGGTGCTGGTCCTGAACGATTTTTGTATTTTCCTCTCCCATCCTTGTGTAGGTTTTGAGGTGTTTTATTCCCCGTTTGAAATTTTTGTGCGGAGGGTAAGTTTACTCGCGCTCCTCGACTTCAGCTGTTCTCTTTTCACGTCACGACACTTGGGTTGTGGAAACGCTGCCTGAAAGAGCGGAGGACCAGCAGTAGCTCCATTTATTTGCATAAAGAGCTGATGTACAGTGGAGATTTGTGGGTCTGGACGGTGCAAATGTTGAAACAGAGGATAAATTTAGCAAAACGCGTTCTCGGGGCCACGGGGATGGCTCTGCCGCCTTCTGCAGACGCGGTGTTTGAGCAGCAGAATTAGGGATTCCCATTTCCAATAAGTCGAAGCAGCAGCTGGTTTTTCAGAGCTGAAAACCACCTGAATGCGGCGGAAAGCAGAGAGGCAAATCTTTCAGTAAATTCAGGGGGTTGGGGAAAAAAATTAGAGCTGTCTGGCAGGATTTTAGCATCCGGGAAGGCTTCGCTCTCTGACTTGGGTTGTTTCTTTCTGTGAGCGTGGAGCGATCCACGCGCTCGGAGCACGTCTCCTGTGTAAAGCTGGGTCTCTGGAGGCATCAATTTGTCCGTCTTCGGGAATAACTGCACTTTTCTGTGTTGAGATGCAACTTTTGTCCCTATAAACCCACGCATGCTCCAAATTGTTCCCCCAATCAGGAAAATTGAAAAGATGGGAACCTGCTTTTTCTCATAGGTATCGCTAAAGGTGTTCATGGTTTACTCTTTTAGGCAAGGAAAAAAAAAACCTAAAAAAAAAAAAAAAAGCTGAAAACTGCAGGGCTGATGTTCTATATATAAAAAAAAATGTCCTTTTTTACTGTATTTTTGCGGCATTAACGACTCCTCTTATGCACCGGGGCTCCTCGCGAGGATGCGCGATCCCCACCTCGTGTGTGACGATGGTCCCGTCGATGTCGGCGTCGCAGCCACAAATAAAAGTGCCTGTTTGGAGCTCGCTTCTGCCGCCCGCTTCCTTCTGACCCCCCGGCGCTCCCGTAAGGTCACGGCAAAGCCTCCACCGAATTCCCGGCGGCCCCTCGGGGAGGGTTTGGGGGCGGAGGGGACGACCGGGAGCTGCCGCTGCGCCCGCGCTCGTTCCTTCCTCTTCGTCGTGGTTTCTGCTCGGCTCCGCGGTGTTTTTCTGCCGGGCGAGGAATGAGCAGAGCGTGGCGACACGTGTGACCGATACCGCTGGGTTTCACCCCAAAAACGGGCCCTGACAGCTTAACGCTCCGCTTCCCATTTTCAGAACTTGGCTGATTTGTTTGTTTTTTTTTTTAAACTAAACACAAGGTTTTCTCAAACCTTCCTTAACCCACAGAACGCAGCGAGCCCCAGCAGAGCTGTCAGAGCTTTTTATTTATTTTTTTTTAAGGAGTGAAGGTCCGTTTGGACACTTATTTAAGTTCAAGTTCGACAAAAGCAAATTTCATCTTTGAGATTGTCTCGCTGCGACGTTACCGCGGGAGCGGGACCGGGAAGAGGCGGCGCGGGAAGGACGAGGGCAGGTTCTAGGCGTCTGGCTGACCTTTGTTCGTCTTCTTCAGGAGCTTTTTCAGGTCGGGCGACATAAAATAAGGCTTTTCGGCCGAACCGTCGTTGCGCTCCAGATCTTCCACTGCAAAGAGAAACACCCCCCCCGCCCCGCGCAGCAGTGGGGGGGGG